ACGCTTCTATAAATACTCTTACTGATCTAAATATAGCTACATTATTACACATGATTTCTCAATATAAGATAACTATATCTAAAGAATATGCTAATTCAGTCAATTCTACATTTACAAATGTGTAGAGAATGTAATAGTATTAAATATAGATGATTATTATAATATTTATACAAAATGAATGTTAAATATAACTATTACGTTAACTGCTATGCATTTAACAATAATTTTAATAAATCTAATTATGATGTAACTTGTAATTTCAAAGGTAAATATCTATAATCCTATACTGGTTAATGCTAAATTAATTAAGACCAATATGAAAAATAAATTCATAAAATTTTATGGTCTTTCGCATAATTGACGTTAAGAATTTCATATAGTTAATAATAATATAAGATTAGAAGAATTAACTATATAGTTATAATATTAGATTAAAAGAGAATAAAATGTTCATTTGATGAAGGATGTCATTCTTATAGATTTACAGAAGAATGATCTTCATTTTTTGGATGCATACATCAAAGCTATTAATATCGTTGTGAATGTCTTATCTATGTAGCAATATATCTAGTAAGGATATATGATCCCTATTGTTGCTGATTAGTCTGGATAAATTTATCTTAAAATAGCTATTTCACATTACTTATATTATCGTGATTCATCAAATATTACTAATAAAATCTTGTTTTTTTCTTATTATAGGTTCTTTGCATATTTTATTATACAATCAGAAATTAATTTTCTTTTAATACCTAATTTTTTTTAGCTATGTATACGTATATCTTTAGAAAAAATAAATCTCTTATATAAAAGTCTAAATCATAATGGATTAATCTTTTTTTTAGAGATATCTAATAGTATTTGGTAAGAAATTTTTATTACCATCAGAACAAATTTAAACTTTTGTATAAGAATGCTAAATATCTTATACTTAAAAATCTTCTTGATAATACAAATCTATTTGTATTAGATATTTATGCTGTATTTTTCTACTCAAATGATTTTAATACTTATTTAAAAGCTTATTTTTATGTTTGAATAATATTCTTTAATTCTATTATAGAAACTATATCAAGGTCCTATTAATATTTCTTTCTGATATCTTCAACTGAGAAATCAGATTAGTTTTATTACTGTAATACGTTTTACTTTTCATTTTTCTCATCTATTAATTTAAATGTTTCTATTAAAGTTCTAGCTTGTAATCACATATATAATTAGTCCTATTATAATGATATTAGATTTAAATACTTACATTATTTATCATTTTTATGTAATAATATTGATGAACATATTTAATTTTTATTAGAATCTTTGAAAAGGTTAGATAAAAATTGAAAACAGAATATATAACTAGAGGATAATATTTTGATAATGATGATAATAATATAAGTAAACTGATAAATTATGTAACATATCATTAGAAGAGGCATTACAAAAATTTCAACAGCAATAAAAAACTTTTATTTTTTTAATATTATATAAAATCAATAAATTAAACTAATTTGATTTAAAAATTTAATTTAATATTTATATAAATACTAATAGTTAAATAAAATAATCTATTTTATTAAGTCACGTAATGTGTATAAATATTTACAATACTAATTATAAAATTTATGTAACATAACCAGCCAATTATATAAAATTCTTCTATGAGTTTCAATTTGATATGTAAAAAGTAGGCTAGTTTATATCTAATCAATCAGCATTTCTGATCAGATTATTTAAAAATTTTAGTCAATAAATTTTGACTTATGTACAACCAAACTGATCTTTACAATCAATCAAAAAGGTAGTTTTTTTGATTGAAAAAAAGAATCTGGCCAAAATTGGTCAACCAATTTATAAGAGAGAATATGTAATATAATATAATATATTACGTTTTTTTAACTCTTTTCACTAATAAATTTCTGAAAAATATTCAAAAAAGTTTTTCTGAAAATAAAATGTTATATTACCTAAATTTAATAGAGAAATTCATCCTTCTTCTTTTTACTTTAAGCAACACAATATAGCTCTTTTTTAATTTTCTTATTAAAATCCTTTAGTAAAATTATTATAAAATTAAGATTTTACTTCTAACAATGTCTTTGAAAGTATTTTTTAATTAAATTCCAAAGGAGTACTTTAAAATAAGAGGTTCTAACCAAAAAAGAAATATTTTTAATTAAGAAAAGAAAATTTATAATATAAAAAAGATCTCTAAAAAAGTATCAAAAGTATTTTATTAAAATCTACCAAATGTCAATTAGATTCAAATAAATTTAATAACTTGAGTAATAATTAACAAGATTATAAAGTTTACCTTTTTATTCAATATATTGTAAAATAATTTTGATAAATATAAGAAAGGTAATAAATCAAAGATGTTTAATGAAATTTCAGCAAAGATATTAAAGAATAAGAATCTAACATTATTAAAAGTAAGTTGATAAGAATGATTAAAACTTATAGTGAAATTAAAAAATATAATGAAAAATCTGATGTAAAAAGAAAAAATTAGGAATAGTATAAAAAATGGACAATATATTTAGTATTTATGAAAATATAACTTCTTCTTTATAGCAAATAAAAATACTGATAAAAATGAAGAATTAGTAGTAATTAATGAATTTAAACTTTCTAAAGATAAAGAAATAATATAGATTTTATTGTAATTATTATTACTACTATGAGTAAAACTAAAAAAAAGTATAGGAAAAAAAAATTGAATTAAAATAGAAGAAATTCATATTATTGAAATAAGCAAATTAGAAGTGAAAAAGATAGAATTTGATTTAAAATTGAAAGAAATAGAATCTTAGAAAATTCAAATTAAATTTGTATTTTTTATAATTATTACATAATGTTCATTATATAATGTTAATACTTACAATAAAATATTTTGTGTAATATTTGTAATATTTATTGATAAAATATTCACATAACATTTATTGATCATATAAAATATATTGTATAAAATATTTGTATCTTTATAAATAAAAAACAATTTATTAATTAATTTTTTTTTTTTATATATTATAAAAAAATTATTATTTAGCTTATTAAATAATTTGATTCATTATTTGCTTTTTTTTTTTTCCTGCTTTTTTTTTTTCTATTTTATTTTGATCTGTAATATTTTTATTATAATCACCATCATTATCATCACCATTATTTTTTTCATATAAATCTTCTATACTATCATTACTTAATTTTAAAAAGTTATACAAAATAATTATACACTCAATTAATATAATTATAATAGAAATCTTTCTAATATTTAAATTTTTTAAAGAAATAAATTTATTCTTAAGTCTACCAAAAGCATTTTCAATTACTACTCTGTGTGACTAATAAATTATATTAAATTAAATATGTAAAGAAATTTGAGGATTTGTAAAAGATTTAATTAAAAAGTAGACAAAGGATATGCTAAATCTTTAAATAAATATTTATTTTTTTTGATAATTTTAGAAATATTTTGATAAAAGAATAAATCTAATTGTAACAACTTGTTATATATAACAACTTCATTTTATCCAATCAAAGAATCAAAACAAAAGATCAGTTATGTAACTAAAATAAACGAATTTTTTAAAAAATTTTAAGAAACTGCTTATAACTTATAATTTGTCTATGAAATTATCTTTAGTATATTAAATATAAGTTTTTCAAAATAAATTTTACATATAAAAACTTTTTTTTTATATATATATTTTTTTTAATTATTAAAAAAAAAAAAAAGTTGTGACATGTAATAGGTTGTTACAAAAACATTTATTTTTGATAAAAATATAAATTTTTATATGCTTTAGCATTATAAACTGAATCAGATCACCTAATCTCATAATTTATAAATATACATTTATAGTTTACAATTTTTTGTAATTGCATAGAATATTTTTTTTCTATTTCAATATGTTGCAGGTTATTTTAATAAAGGATTTACTAATATTACATAACTTTTATCTATTGCTCTTATTATATTATTATTTCACTTATATTTTTAAATTCTTTATATGCATTTTACTTTGCTTTATCTACTGAACATTTAACTAAATTTTTTTTTAATGAAAAAATTGCAGCTATTATTTTTTTACAATATAAATAAATAGTTTTTTCAATAATACTAAATCTTAAACATATTTCAAAAATATTTTCTTTAAAATTAATTCTTTTAAAAAAACTGCAAATTATAGTTTAACAAAAGTTTAAGGATTATTACTTTTATTTTGAAAAATTTGATGAGTATATAAAATTGATACAAGTTTTTGAAAATTATAATTATTATTTTTTTAAACCTAATATCATCATATTTTGGTAAAATATAATCATACTACTTTTTTGATTTTCCTATATGAGTTTTTTCTTTAAAATACTATGTTCTAAATAAAGAAATTAATCTAAGAATTACTAATTCATTTTCTTCTTTATTATAATTATCAGAACCTTCTTTCTCTTCAAATAAATATTCTATTTCTTCTGCATTTTAAAAAGTTTAACAATATAAAAGATAATAAATTTTTTATTTTTTATGTTTAGATATTTTTTTTATTAATTAATCTATGCAACTAACAATCAACTCAATCAATTATGAATTTTGATTGCAAATTCTGATTGGCTGTTTAAATTTGTGATCAAAATACTAATTAATCAGGTATAAACTAGCCTAGTAGTAATATTATAATGTGATCAGATCAGAAATCCAAAAAAATTCTGATTTATTCATTTTATTATAAAAATGGAATTTTTCCGGGTAGGGCTGAAAATAGAAATCAAAATTTACCCGTCAAAGATCCGGAAAGAAAAATTTTTACCGGATTTTTCCAGATTTCTTAAAATTTGCCGGATAAAGATCCGGAATATAGAAATTTTTATCGGCCGGATTCTGCCGGAATTTTATCAGATAAAGATATAACACGTGATTATAAATTTTTTATGGCCTGGCGCGTTTGACGTTATCACACCAGACATACGTAAAAAAGTAAAAATGCAATTATTGCCCGAATGTTTCGATGCTCTTAAATACCGTGGTAAGGCCAAATGCAGGAATGATCTTTTTTTTGGAATTATAACTTAACCCATCAATTGAAAATATATAGCAATCGGAGAAACCTTCACTTAAGAATTTTTTGGATTTTCGTTTACAAGAAGGCGATTTGGAACGAGAGGAAATGGAGCACAGTCGATACAAGGGTGAACTAAACACAATTCTCAAATATCATTCTGAAGCGTCGGAAATTAGGGAAGAAGTGCAACAGATTTTAAGGAATTTCCAGGTAAATATATTTTATTTAGGTTATACTGTCACCGACTACCCTGCTGGTCGCGTGCTGGCAGTGGGAAAGATTGCGTGCTTGTCCATCGGTCGTGTTTTTAGAGTTTTGTCACATTTTCTTTACATGCGAGACGATTATAAATTATCATTTAATTTAATCTTTGTAAGGACGAAAAAAAATCAAAGGAGTAAATAGTTTATGGGAACTGCAGGCTAAGCAACAAAACATTTATATGAACCTTAAAATGGTTGAGAAAAGAAGGGAATTGCTTGAGTAGGAACAAGTAAGTTTTTTCGAAATGAGTGGCTTTTGCTTTTTCTACACCGCTTCTACCTCTACCTCTGTTGCTGGAAATGAGACGGTCACGCTGGCGGACGAAGTTAAAAAATATGACACTGAAGGACTTATCTCGTTTTTGCAGGAGCGGGACTTAGGGCTTAGTGAGACTGCTATCAAAATTTTAGAAAAGGAGGAGGATTACAGGCCGTGACTTTCTTAAGTTAACCGAAGAAAAGTTTCGCAGTTATAGAATGCCAGGTGGGTCGGCATTAAGACTTGCGGACTTTGTCAAGGAATGTAAAGAGAAGAAGTTGAGGTCGTTCTCCTCGTACAAGACTAAGAAAGACTTGAGTGAGGTGTTGGAGAAATAAGATATCATTAGTAGGGACATAACTCGCATTCCACAGTTCACACCACGTAGTAATCTCCTGTCGAAGGTTCTTTATTAAAATATTTCAGAACTCACATATCAGTATTACAGCCACCCACCCAATCAGCGAAAGTGTCCCTATGAATTGATGACATTCTCCGTAGGATAAAAAACATTGGACCTGTTGTAGATAATAACGAAACTATGCGTTGCGAGTACATTTCTACTATCTTACATACAGCTGTAAGTCTTCTTGATGGTATGGTAATCACCCCTCAGGCGATATAATTGGTGAAGAAATACCGGCCGCGTTGAATATGCAATCAAAAAAATTATAAGCGAAATATTAGAGGAAATAATTTGCATAAACCGAAGGCAAACAAAACCAGGCGACTGTGGGTATCTGCCAAAACTTACTATAATGTCGACGTGCGTGTGATGTAAGTATTTTTTCGCTACTCCGCTTGCTCATTATAAGCTGGAACATGGGTATTAATAACTTCGCTATTTCCTCCAGATGAATGTAAATATGAACAAGAAAAAGCGAAAGATTGATGATGCGTTCGATCCCGATCCCGATTACGTCTTTGGTATAGTCAGTACTGGAACCGACTGGTACGTCATTCTTCATAGCACCGAGGGCATCTACTGTACGAGCAGGACTGAGTATCGAATTTCACTTACAAAGATGATAAGGAATGTGAAGAGGGTTTAGAGGTTATAGTAGGATTGTTAAAGGATAGAATAGTAGGTAGTGAGGAACCCGCAACTAAGAAGCGTCGTGTACAAGAGATAATCAAGAAAAGGTAATCATATAGATACTAGCATAGAAACGTAGTAACTTCGGGCAAAGTCCCAAGCTTTGTATTTTATTTTTTCGCATGTAATAATAAAATTTTTCTTGGCAATTTTCCGAGACCGCAGAATGTAAATATATTAACGGACTTTTGAATACTTTATATCTTCTATAAAAAATATTATTTCGCACATGGGTATTGGAGATATCTATGCTAATCCTGAAGTCATTTAAGGGGATTAACGGAATGACGAAATGCAGTGCATAATTGCCAGTAAAGCATTCACTTTGTTCATGCCCAGAAAGCAGTTAACAGTAAATGATTCTTACTTATGATAAATTTTTCTCTGGCTTCGACCAAGAAGGCGGATTTTGCCCATATCGGGCTTTGTTTTTCAACCAGTGCATCGGAAAAATAAAAATTTATATACTACTTTGAGAATCTGCTTAGCGCATGTTATTTTTTAACTTCGCATCAGAAATAAAACTATGCTACCTAACCAAATATGTATGATCAATATTTATATTTGATAACTTATAATAATACTTTATTAAGCAATATAACTGTTGTACTGATAAATTAAACTTCACATTGAATAAAGCTCTTGCTGATAATTATCGAAAAAGGAAAGTCAGATTTTTAATATTCTCAAATTGTTCCACTCTCGGTCTTTAAATTCCGTTGAGTATAATATTATGAAATCAGTTGTAAAGTCGTATATTATACCAAACATTCGAGATACGTCTGAAATACTCACCATATCAAAACAGACATTCATCAGAGAAATAAACTTTTGAATCCTTGCACTCTCGTCCTTTCGGGTTACTAAAGATTTCCAAATATTTACAAATGCCTTTTCTTCATCAACAGCTAGTCGCACAATTTGACTTAGATGTCCTTCATCTGTTGACTTGAGTTTATTTACAATATCAAGAGCAAAATAACCAACTCTACGAGTTCTATTTCTGTCATCCTTTTCTTTCTTTCATGAAATTTATCTCCATTTTCTTCATATTTCCTTTTCATTGATGAAACACGTTGTCCCTGTTCAGAATTAAGCTTCAGTTTAATTTTCAATAATAATTATACAATAGATTATACAAAAAAAAATTGTTAATAAATATTTTAAAATACTGTATGAATGATACCCATACAAAACTTACCAAGGCAATCGACTAATTCTAATGACAAAGTCGACAGTCTTTGAAGTTTTTCGTCGCACCACCTTCCTTCAATTTGCGTTATTCCCGTGCGCATGGTGATTTCTTGCTTCAGTTTTGAAGGATTTAAGAATATCTAACGGCTTTAGTTTATACTCTCCATGGAAGAGCGTTTGATCAGGATTAAGAATCATAAAGAAACATTTTTTATAATGAAGTTTAAGAGACAAAGTAGATCGGCATCCGAGAAGTCAATATTTCGCGGAGGGTGGCATTTAACTGCAAATTCTTTTACTATGTTGAAAGGAATATATTTCAGATTTTTTACAAGGAACCTAAAGAGTGCCCTCTCAACGTGTTCTAAAATTGATTCAACATACGAACCTTGCTTAGATGACGAGAATGAGAACTTTTGCGAAATTCGTGAAAATGATGGATGAATTAAAATTTCCCCTCCTTTTTTTTTTACTTCCCAATTTCGTATATCTATTTCCTGCGATTTTTTATCATTTGTAGAAACTGCTTGTTCTTCGTCACTTTTCTGCGATTCTTTATCATTTGTAAGAACTGCTTGTACTTCTTCACTTTCCTACGATTCTTTATTATTTGTAGGAACTGCTTGTTCTTCTTTTACTATATTATTTGAATTTTGTGTTTGTGCTTGCGTTTGTGTTCCATAAGAAATATTGTACTGTACAACTCTTACTTTCTTGAAAATAGCTCGACTATCTTTATCATTAACCTTTAATCTCTTATTTTTCACTTTTTCAGGAACATCAGCGTTAAGCCACATGTTTAGTGATTCGTATTCTTTACGTATCGCTTCATCATTTTTCATCAGATCTCGTAATGAAGAATTCAACGCCTCACTATTACATTTGTGAGGTTTTAACTTAATCAGATGTTTGATCGTTGTTTCTAGTGTTTCTTAACATTATCCTTGAGATTCCTTTTGAGCCACTTTGATGCAAAGTATCAAACTTAACCCTCCTCATAATCCTGTCTTGACCCTCTTGCCGAGCTTATTGTTAAAACAATTGTTATTTATTTAGTAACGGCAAGAGGGTCAACTTAATACCATGAGGAGGGTCAAGTTCGATATAAAAATGTAACGCGTAATTCTTAACTGCTGATCGAACGCGATTCAACTTATGTGATATATGTGATATCCGTCATGTGGTCATGTGATCATAGTAAATATGTTATGCATCAATTGTAATGATTTTTCAATATATAAATTTCTCGAAATAGAATATTCTTTCTCAATACTTTTCTCACTCTAGTACTTTGGCAATAATACAAGTTCCCACCCGTGAAGCTGAGAAACACTCCTTGTGTTTGTTAGGTGGGATAGCCTCGAAACACTTTCTTGTGTATCATAGGTGTTGTGAAACTGAGAAACGTTTTGTATGTTTCAGTAAGTGAAGTCAGGAGAAGCTGAAAAAACATGTGTAATATGTGTTTCATAGGCGGATGACTAGTCAAAGCCGAAAAAATGTGCAACACATGTTTTGTAGGTGGGAAGAACGGAATCGAAACTGAGAAACGTGAATATGTTTCATAGGTAGAGATTATAGTCGGAAACTTGTATTAACCAAAAGTAATCTTAACAAATATGCATTCACTCTTTATTTCATAAAGGTTATAGTTTAGTAATAATAATATTGTCCAAAAATAGCTTTGAACCAAAGACAACATTGTTTAAATGAAGGACGAACTGAAGTACTGGATTTGTCTTGAACAGGTTAGTATATTATCTCATTATGCCTAAACTTGATGTGAAAGTTCATTCTGATATGTTTTAGATGCGTCGTCTTTCAGTACAAAATACGATCACCAAAAACACTTATTGGATAAGTCTAGTGAGCATACCTATAGGGAGTCAGTAATAATCAGTTCTTCAAAATTGATTAATTACATGACTTTTTTTAATTTGAAATATTAATTTGTTTGTATTTTATCATTTACAGCAAAAATAGGGTGGTGAATTATTTGTAATTTTTTATGTAAAATAATTTAGATAGTAGTTATTTGTTGTTATAATGTGTAAATACTAATAAAGTATTTTAGTTCATACAATTTTGATTTATGTAATATGATAGTATACATCAGAAACAAAAAATAGTCTTTCAGCTCTTCTTATACAGCTCATAGTTAAATTATATACCATACCATTCTGAAATTAAGCAACCCTTTTTTGCTATAAGATTGCTTAATTTTAGGTATTTTTTCTTTCGTAGAAGAAGAAATGAAAAAATTGCTATATAATAAATATTTCATCATCACATTACACAAAATAATCATCTGTATAATGTAGTATGATATCACAATCAATAAATCACGTGTGATCAATCACAAACTTGTTTCTAAACTTGTTTTAAAACTTAATATGTCACCACAAAAGCAAAAAAGACTAATATTTGTTAATAAAAAAACTCTCAAACGAAGCTGCAATTCATATTCTATTAAGCAAAAGAGATAAGTTGTCACTTATACTAAGAAAAATGGAATAATTAGAGCAGCAAATACTTTTGAACTTAATAAAAGCATAGTTAGTCACTGGGTTAATTCAAATGAAAAATGGTTTAAAGAACTAAACCAAAACAGCAAATGAATAGATTCTGGCCAAAAAAGCTTTTACCTAAGTGCTGAAAAAACTATATTATTAGATCATTGAGCAGAGAAAACAGGATTTAGGTGTTATATATATTATCACACAAGTTAAAATGCTAGATATTTTAAAAGAATCTGCTATGATAAATCTTTATGGATATTCAACAAATGAATTTAAAACATCAAATCGTTAGATATTTGCATTCATGAAAAAATTTAATCTATCTTGACAACATTGAACTAAAGTTTTGCAAAAGTTTCTATCATAAACTGCTAAGTTATTAGAAAATTTTCGTCAGTTCATCATCAATCTTAGAGCTAAAAAATAATTTGAGTTATCTAACATTTTAGATATGAATGAAACTCCTGTCTGATTCGACATGACAGAAAACTTTACAATCAAATATTATAGGTAAAAAACAATTCAGATTCACAGTACTAGCAATGAAAAGAACTGATTTACAGTTATCTTGATATATACCGCAGGTAAAGTTTCATTTAACAGTTTTTTTAGCTTTATTTTTATCTAATTTTTATCCTGTAGATAGTACAAAATTTCTGCTGATTTGCATCTTTAAAGGTAAACAACTACTACGTAATGAATAGATTCCATCCAGTGTTATTGTTTGGTTTTAAAAGAATAGATAGATAGATACTGATTTAATGAAGAAATATATTAATTACATTAATAATAATCTAACAATCAATAATGCTTCAACAATGATGGTATACAATTCTTTTCGAGAATATTTTGAAGATTCAGTTAAAATCAGGTTTCATAATAATGGTATCGATTTGGCAGTTATTCCAGGTGGTTTAACTAGAATATGTCAACTACTTGATGTAACAATTAATAAGCCATTTAAAGATAATTTTCGTAAGGAATGGCATATCTGGATAGCAGAAGATAGTACAGGAATAATCACATCAGAAAACCTTTGTCATGCTAAATTATTTGATGTTTATGAATGGGTCAAACGTGTTTAAGAAGGAATTTCAAATGAAATAGTTATAAAGTCTTTCAAGACTTGCAAGATTTTGATTTCTTTGAGCATATCGGATGATGATAATGAAGATTCTAGTGATAATATTATTGGTAATGATGATAGCAATAATGATGATAATAGTGATGATAATGAATGATAATGATAATGGTAATAGCAATGATAATAAATAATATTACTAATTACTATAGTTTAGACTAATTAATATTTTATAATAAAAATACATTATTAATAAATTTAATGCTATTTTTAATGTTTATTATATTTAATTATTATGTTTAATTATAGGAATTTATGGGTTGCTTATTTTGGATCTATATTAATTGATGGGTTGCTTATTTTTAAAGGTTACTTAATTTCAGAACAGTACGGTAAGTAATATTTTTGTAAAAAAAAATTTTAATTGTAACTTAAATTTTCTGATTTTATTATAATAAAATCTAATAGTAATTGTAAAAGCATAGAGTAAGGTAGAAAATTCTGTTATGTGAAATACAAATAAACCTAACTGCAGTCAGGTATGTATGAATTGCAATTCAGATAGTTTTATTTAGCTATTTTACTGATTAAAATATTCTTCCTTTTTAAAGAAATTAATCGTCAATTTTTAGAAGAATGTTACATCTGTAGAAAATCAAAGGATAGCAGCTATAACTAGATGTAGAATTGTGATGGTATAATTATTAAATATGTCTTGATATATAGCATGATGAAAAATTAAGTATTCACTTCCTTTTTATTGTTATAAGAGGAGTATACTACCACTATACGCAATCAGTTTTTAGATAAAGATCAAATTATACAAGATAAGTATGCAAGATATATAAAAGATGATAGATAGGAAAGGTATAATAAATCTATCAGCAGTATAATAATTCATTATTTTTTAATTAAACTAAAATTAAAATAAAACGATTTAACTCCTTCTTTTATATTTAATCTGATGATGACTTCATCTATCAATCAAAGTGAAGAAATAATTTGTTATTATTAAAAAAGATTAGCTTTTTAATATAAAATATTGCTTTGAATTTTAAGTGAGTATTTTTTAATGATTATTTTCTTATATTACAGAACAAAGAACTTGTATGTATAATATGTAATCCATGATAAGAAGTAGATTTCTCATTACTATTTGTTATATAAATAGATCAAAATTACTAGCAAGAATGTAGAAAAAAAGGAAAATAATGATGATCTAAACTTTAGTATCAAAAGATCTACTAGTATTAATTTAGAATCATCAAACATCACAGACTATTAATTAAAGATGGTCTCCATAATTATTTTTAAATTTCAATTGAGTTGCAACTTAATTGCGCCATAAGAAAATTTAATTGTGTCACAAGTTGCAACTCAATTGTGTTATTTTTTTAATTGCGGTGATCATCTTTACTATTAATTCAAATAAAAATGATGAACTTGTTATTGATTCTATCTAAGATAAAGGTAATTTTTAGAAATCTGTGCATACCTTTTCAGATAAAGACATACTGTCAATCCTCTTTAAATACATACACTATATATTTTCTTTCTAAATGCATACTCTCATTCAATTTTAAGTATACAGTCAACTCTTGTTATAACGAACTCTTGTTATAACGAATTTTTTGAACAAATATAATAAAAATACTCTTGTTATAGCGAATTGGCCAATCAAATCTCTTAAAATCTTCACTATAGCCTTATAGCGAAGTTGAGGTCTAGGACATAGAGTTCGTTATAACAAGAGTTGACTGTATAGAATTTATATAGAAATTTCTTTTTAAATGCACACCCTCTTTAAATGTTCATTTTTTAAAATTTTTATTATAGTTTTGAGGGAAAGCATTTAGAAAAAATTTACTATATATTTTTATATCTTTATATATATATAACAGGTCATAATAATTTATAAAATATTAGAAATCTTAATTAGAGAAATCTCGCTAGAAATGAAAACTGATTTATTTGTTTTAATAAGGTAAATATTTGTGAATCATTAAAAATGGAAGTGCGAAAAGGATCATTCTCATAATAAGTAAGTTGCAGTATTTTAGTTTATAAAATATTATACTAAATAGTATATTAATTATCATTATATAATAATAGTCTTAGACAATGATGTATATTTTGATATTTCAAAGATTTGTTGTCCTAGCTATATATCCTAACCTGTCTCACACTATGTCTTAAATATTCTATCTGTCCTATCTATGTCCCATCAGTGTTCCATCAATATTCTATGATAATATTAGTCTTAAATATTATAATAATATTAGCCTCATACCTGAAACAAATCGTGATTTTATCAATTTATTATTAAAATCTAAAGAAATAAAAAGTTTTGATTCCTAAAACTATTTAATTTTAATAATGACAAAATCAAAAAATTAATC